TCTAGAACTATCTGTATATTCTCTCTACATCAATGTCTCTCACTCACATGAAGATGAATGGCTGGGGAATTCTGGGAAATTGACCGTTGGCTTACCTGAATGGTCGTTCTCTAGGCGCTGCCCAAGCACTGGTTAACATCAGCTTGCTGCCCAAGGACTGAGTTTAATATTTTTGCAGCTCCGCCTCCTGCTCTGAGAGGCTCAGTTTCAAAAAACGAAAGAGACTCCAAAAAGGTCGTAGATGGAGATGCAGAATGTCCCCCACTGGAGTACAGAACCCCGTGGGCACTTATTCGGGCGGGGTTGGACACTCCCGCAGCGCCTAGAGAACGACCATTCAGATAAGCCAACGGTCATTCTCCTAGGCGCTGCTCGGATATCGTGCGGGCCGAGGTGATGGCAACCAGGAAGGCCGTTTTAAGGGTCAGATGTCGGAGACCAACTGTTGAAAGGGAGGTGCAGACAGAGCTTTTAGCATGACCGACAAGTCCCAGGTTGGGTACCTGTGGATGACAGGACAGAGATTGGTAGCTCCCTTGAGGAAGCTACGGACCTGCAGGTGTCTGGTAAGCGGCAATTGAGAGTCTGTGGACAGGATGGTGGCCAGAGCCGCAGTCTCGCCTGATGCCTGAGAGTGTTAGGGGCGAGGCCTTTGTGCAAACCCTCCTGCAGGAAATCCAGGATCTGCGGAATAGTGGCAGAAGAGGCCACAATCTGATGAGTGTCGCACCAGCGAGAGAAGGAAGCCCAAGTAGCCTCATAGATTCTGACAGTGGAGGGCCGCCTGGATGGTATGGATGACTTTGTCGGAGAACCTGCTGAGTCTCAGGATGTCCCCCTCAAGTGCCAGATGGCCAGCTGCAGCCACTGGGGCTCCGGATGACGAACGGCTCCCTGGCTGAGGGAGATCTGATCCTGAGGTATGCGCCAAGGTGGACTGACAGACAAACTGACCAGATCGGCGAACCAGCACTTCCACTCTCTCTCACAGGATCTTCCTGACCACCAGGGGAATCAGAGGAAGAGGCGGAAATGCGTGCAAGAGTCCTGGTGGCCACGGTGACCAAAGAGCGTCCGTCCCCTCTGCCCCAGGGCAACGGAACCTGGTGAAGTACCGGAGAAGCTGGGTGTTGGCTCGAGTCACGAACAAGTTGACCTGCGGGCTGCCGAACCTCCGCGCCAACTGGCAGAATAAGGCTGGATGGTGGTCTGGATAGTGGTCCTGCTCAACCAGTCTGTCGTCACGTTGTCCTCCCCCGAAATGTGGTCTGCCTGGAGGGAGGTCAGGAACCTTTTTGCCCAGCGGCCTAGCGCCTCCGCTTCCGACATCAGGACCAGAGACCGCGTGCCGCCCTGATGGTTGATATGTTCCTTTGTGGTGATGTTGTCTGTTGTGGCCCTCGATCTGACCGTGGAAATGGCGCATGGCTAGCCTGGTGGCCTGGAGCTCCAGCCAGTTGATGTTGTGGGCGAGCTCCGCCTGTGACCACCGGCCCTGGACCACCTGAGTCTGGAGGTGAGCGCCCCAGCCGAAGAGGCTGGCGTTCGTCGTTATGACCAGGCGCTCTGGTTCCTTGAAGCAGCAGCCCTTCAGAACAGCATCCGTCTGCCACCACCTGAGGGATCGTAGAAGGTAGACGCACTCTCCTCTTGCTGGCCTTGCACCTCTGGAGCAGCAGCAGAAACCACTGGAGCTCTTGCGTATGCAGTCGTGCCCATGGAACCACTGAGATGCACGACACGAGTTTCCCCAGCAGCTGGGAGAGGGAAACTATCGATGCTGACCCCGCCGACAGGATGGACCTCACCAGAGACCTAATGCTGTCTATTCTCTCCTGTGTGAGGAAGACCTTGCAGTCCCTGGAGTCGATCACCATGCCGAGGTGTTGAATTCTGCAGGCGGGGGTCAGATGGCTCTTGGCGAGGTTGACCGAGAACCCGTGTACTTGGAGGACTCGGATGGTGGTGTCCAGGTCTCTCTGGGCCTGCCCCCTGGACGACGAGTGTATGAGGATGTCGTCCAGGTAGCATTCCAGTCTTACCGGGATAGACCGTAGATGCGCAGCGATGGCGGCTAGCAGCTTGGTGAAGGTCCGAGGGGCCGATGATAGCCCGAAGGGGAGGGCCCTNTACATACATACATACATACACACACACACACATATATCTCACCTCCAATTTATTTCAGACAAATAAACATACATTATTCCTTATAACATAGGAAATGGTTTAAAAATAACTTGAAAAGAATTTATCTATGACAGAAGAAATAACTCTTAAACCTTTTTTAAAAAATAATTTGCAAATATTTTTCTGCTTTATACAGTATTTGACTGCTCATTAATTTATGTTTGGTCAAAGTGCCAATTCATCCTTTAAAAACTACACAGAACACAGTGCCTTGGTATACACAAACAAATGGTCTAGGGTGAAAGTTAATAAATAAAGAAATCCTGCTGACACTATTTGCCTGTGTGTTCAGAATTCAATCCTTCTGCTCTACAACCCCTCTTCACTTCTGTAGTACCTGCCTGAAATCACCTGTTGAAATGATTGGAGGCCTACTATGATACTTGATGGGTTGCACTCAAACCTATCGATCCCTAACCTAGAATAAACCCGTGAGCCCAGTGACCAAGAACTTACTTCTGAATTATCATATACATAAGTGTTTTACCAGCAATTTATTTGAATTTATAAGGGATAATGCTGCTTTAGAAAGCTTTACGTATGTCGAGTTGAATTTAAAACATTTTCTTTAAAAAAGCTATCAAAGCACCACATACTAAGAGATTCTGTTTATTGAGGACTATATTGAGGACTATTACAACGTTTATGTTGAGAATAATTGAGTATGCATTTAATTTCTTATATCCTAGGTTTGGGAGTACTGTACTGTTTCCCACCAAATTGTACAATATTTATAGGGCTGAGAAAGAGAAGTGAAAAAAGGTGTGGAAAGAGCAATACTTAACCAGTTACAGCCTTATCTTATCTAGTTTGCATATCTGCATATTTACAAATTAGTGTGTAATTCTGACTCTGAATCAAAGTGCAACAAACAACTGCCATATGATTGTAGTACAGAATGAAACAGCTCCCCCCTTTTTTTTCCACTCTGGGGCAAGCAATAGCAAGTCAGCAACAACGGACATGAGGTCTTGGAGGAGGCAGTTCTGGTGGAATCTCTGGTTCTGGTTGTAGGGACAGGATGCTGTTGGACAATTCGTTTCTTATTACATCCAAGGGCATCTTAAATGAACACCAAAAACACACATGTCAGCAGCATCTTACACAGAATTCTACTGAAAGCAATATACTTACATCTGTAAGTAAAGGTAGTCCTCAACTTACAACAGTTCATTTAGTGACAAAAGCACAGAAAAAGTGACTTATGACCATTTTTCACACTTGTAGCATCTGCATGGTCACATGATCAAAATTCAGACACTTGGAAACTGGCATGTATTTAGGATGGTTGCAATGTCCTGGGGTCAAGTGATCAAGTTTTGAAACCTTCCGACAAGCAAAGTCAATGGGGAAGCAGATTCATTTAATAACCATGTTACTAACTTAGCAATGGCAGTGATTCACTTAACAAATGTGGCAAGAAAGTTCATAAAATGGGCAAAACTCACTTAACAACTAACTTACTTAGCAACAGAAATTTTGTGCTCAATTGTGGTTGTAAATCTAGAACTATCTGTATATTCTCTCTACATCAATGTCTCTCACTCACATGAAGATGAATGGCTGGGGAATTCTGGGAAATTGACCATTGGCTTACCTAAATGGTCGTTCTCTAGGCGCTGCGGGAGTGTCCAAGCACGGGTTAACATCAGCTTGCTGCCCAAGGACTGAGTTTAATATTTTTGTAGCTCCGCCTCCTGCTCTCCTGAGAGGCTCAGTTTCAAAAAACGAAAGAGAGTCCAAAAAGGTTGTAGATGGAGATGCAGAATGTCCCCCACTGGAGTACAGAACCCCATGGGCACTTATTCGGGTGGGGTTGGACACTCCCGCAGCGCCTAGAGAACGACCATTCAGATAAGCCAACGGTCATTCTCCTAGGCGCTGCTTGGAGTGTCCAAGCACGGGACATGCCAAAGCTATGCCGTCCCGGGGAGGGAAGAAGAATTGCCCAAGCCCGCGGGAGTCGCAATGACCTTCTCCCAAAGGATGCTTCAGCGGAGGCAAAGACATCAAGTCTGTAATTCTTGATGAATGGAGATGGACTGGACTACGTAGCGGCTCAACGTATCTCCTCAATGGATGCTTGCGTAGCCCACGCAGCCGAATTTGCGGCGCTCCTCATTGAGTGCGCTGTGACGCAAGGAGGGACCGACCTGGCCTGCTGTTCATAGGCTATCTTGATGGAAGCACGTATCCATCGTCCTATGGTGGAGGAGGTGACTTTCCTGCCCATAGAAGCTGGTTGGAAAGATATGAAGAATCACTCCGATTTGCGGAAGGAAGCCGTCCATTTCATGTAAATATGGACCGCTTGACGGACATCAAGATTATGCCACTGCCGCTCTCTTGGATGTCTGGGGCCCGGACAAAAGTCTGGGAGAACAATTTCCTGTGACCTATGGAAAACGCTATTAACTTTTGGCACAAAGGCCGGGTCCAATCTGAGGACTACTCTGTCCGAATGCACAATGCAAAGGTCACCCCTGACCGAGAGGGCGGCCATCTCGGATATCGTGCGGGCCGAGGTGATGGCAACCAGGAAGGCCGTTTTAAGGGTCAGATGTCGGAGACCAACTGTTCAAAGGGAGGTGCAGACAGAGCTTTTAGCACGACCGACAAGTCCCAGGTTGGATATCTGTGGATGACAGGAGGACAGAGATTGGTAGCTCCCTTGAAGAAGCTACGGACCTGCAGGTGTCTGGTAAGCGGCAATTGAGAGTCCGTGGACAGGATGGTGGCCAGAGCTGCAGTCTGACGCCTGAGAGTGTTAGGGGCGAGGCCTTTGTCCAAACCCTCCTGCAGGAAATCCAGGATCTGCGGAATGGTAGCAGAAGAGGCCACAATCTGATGAGTGTCGCACCAGCGAGAGAAGGAAGCCCAAGTAGCCTCATAGATTCTGACAGTGGAAGGCCGCCTGGAGGCCAGGATAGTATGGATGACTTTGTCAGAGAACCTGCTGAGTCTCAGGATGTCCCCCTCAAGTGCCAGACGGCCAGCTGCAGCCACTGGGGCTCCGGATGACGAACGGCTCCCTGGCTGAGGGAGATCTGATCCTGAGGTCTGCGCCAAGGTGGACTGACAGACAAACTGACTGGATCGGCAAACCAGCACTTCCACTCTCTCTCACAGGATTTTCCTGACCACCAGGGGAATCAGAGGAAGAGGCGGAAATGCGTGCATGAGTCCTGGTGGCCACAGTGACCCGAGCGTCCGTCCCCTCCGCCCCAGGGCAACGGAACCTGGTGAAGTACCGGAGAAGCTGGGTGTTAGCTCGAGTCACGAACAAGTCGACCTGCGGGCGGCCGAACCTCCGTGCCAACTGTCAGAATAAGGCTGGATGAAGACGCCATTCTCAGCTCTGGATAATGGTCCTGCTCAACCAGTCTGTTCCTCCCCCGAAATGTGGTCTGCCTGGAGGGAGGTCAGGAACCTTTCTGCCCAGCGGCCTAGCCCCTCCGCTTCCGACATCAGGACCAGAGACCGCGTGCCGCCCTGATGGTTGATATGTTCCTTTGTGGTGATGTTGTCTGTTAGGATCAGCACGTTGTGGCCCTTGATCTGACCGTGGAAATGGCGCATGGCTAGCCTGGTGGCCTGGAGCTCCAGCCAGTTGATATTGTGGGCGAGCTCCGCCTGCGACCACGGGCCCTGAACCACCTGAGTCTGGAGGTGAGTGCCCCAGCCGAAGAGGCTGGCGTCCGTCGTTATGACCAGGCGCTCTGGTTCCTTGAAGCAGCAGCCCTTCAGAACAGCATCCATCTGCCACCACCTGAGGGATCATAGAAGGTAGATGCACTCTCCTCTTGGAGTTGCTGGCCTTGCACCTCTGGAGCAGCAGAAACCACTGGAGCTCTCGCGTATGCAGTCGTGCCCACGGAACCACTGAGACACAAGACACGAGTTTCCCCAGCAACTGGGAGAGGGAAACTATCGATGCTGACCCCGCCGACAGGATGGACCTCACCAGAGACCTGATGCTGTCTATTCTCTCCTGTGTGAGGAAGACCTTGCAGTCCCTGGAGTTGATCACTGTGCCGAGGTGTTGAATTCTGCAGGTGGGGGTCAGATGGCTCTTGGCGAGGTTGACCGAGAACCTGTGTAGTTGGAGGACTCGGATGGTGGTGTCCAGGTCTCTCTGGGCCTGCCCCCTGGACGACGAGTGTATGAGGATGTCGTCCAGGTAGCATTCCAATCTTACCGGGATAGACCGTAGATGCGCAGCGATGGCGGCTAGCAGTTTGGTGAAGGTCCGAGGGGCCGATGATAGCCCGAAGGGGAGGGCCCTGTACTGGAAGTGCTGGTTGGCAAACTGGAACCTCAGGAACCTGCGATGCACTGGGTGGATCGGAACATGCAGATACGCCTCCTTCAGATCTATCGAGGTCAAGAGGTCGTCCTGCCTGACGCAGCCCAGGATGGTCTGAAGGGACTGCATCTTGAAGCGCTTGTACGCCAGATACTTGTTGAGTTTCTTGAGGTCCAGTATTGCCCTTACCCCCCCCCCCTGAGGATTTGGGAAGCAGCAACAGGATGGAGTAGAAACCTCTGTCTTCCTGGCCCTCGGGAACCTTCTCTATAGCCATTATCTCTAACAAGTGATCCATCTCCGCCCTCATGAGCTGGAACTTGTGGGCTGACCTGGGAGTGGGACAACGGACAAAGGTCCTTGGAAGGAAGGAAAGGAATTCCAGGGTCAAGCCGTGACGGACCGTGTTCTGAATCCAGGTGTCCGTCGTGGTCTCCTCCCACTGGTTGGCGTAAAGCTGGAGATGGCCGCCAATGGGAGGATCCCACTGACGGTCACTTTGACTTAGGGAAGGGACAGTTGGAATACCCCCCGCGGAATGGTTTGCGGAAGCCCTGCTGTCTGTTCCTATCTCTGAAGGAGGATTTGTCCTGGGAGCAGTCCTGGGACTGAGGGTAGGACCGACTGTCCCTCCCCCCGGAGGAGGTGGAAGGCTCAGGACTTCGAAAGGAACTGCGGCGAAAGGGCTGCCCCTTGCGGTTCGGCTTCTTGGTGACAGGGGACAGAACCTTGCGCTTGTCTTTGGACTCCGTTAGAAAGGGGTCCAAGGTCTCTCCGAACAATTTTCCTTCCTTAAACGGAGTGGAAGCTAGTTTCCAGTTGGCTTTCACATTCGCCTGCCAGTGGCGAAGCCATAGCAGACAGCGTGAAGTTACGTTGGAGGCCAGTGCTCTAGAAGAGAACCTGGTGGCGGCAAGGGAGGCGTTGGCAGAATATTCTATGGCTGCTATGATTTTATTAACGTCCTGCCTAGCTCTGGTATCGCCCGCAGGGAGGCCGGCCAACAACTTACGTAACCAGAACAGAGCCACTCTACCAAAATTGAAGAGGACGCTGAAGCCTTCATGGCCCATGACGTGGCCTGGTGGGTCTTATGGGAGACCCACCCAGAGACTCTGCCCTCTTGTCTTCCGCCTTNTATAGGAAATCTCATATGAGCTTTATTTTCAACGAAATGCTATTCCATTTATTTAAGCCCTAAATTTAATGTATTTTAAAAAAAATATTTATTGGACTATTTAAAGAAATACTATGCATGGAGAATTTCAGAACTCAAAGGGTCTCTATTGTGTGCTAGTAGAGATTTAACACCCAGTAGCTTTTCAAAAGCTAAACTGTTCTGTATCACTCTAACCAAGCCACAATAATTGGTTAACTTTACTGCAAAAGACAGTGGCACATTAAAAAAAACTACATTACCTCATTATTAGCTTCAGTACAAACCATCATGGCTAACCATCATTCTGGCTCAAGTACCAATTCTGTGGCCTTAGGATTCCAGATGGGAACACAGATGAGGAATGAAGTCATGCCAATAATTTTCAAGTATTAGAGTAACGGATGATACGAAAGATGCAACAGCAATTAACTCAGATGGAAGCAAAACAAACACAAGGTGCGACAAACAGACTTGATGGTGACCTGCCAAGAGGAGTTAGTAAACTGAATTGACTGTATCTGTGCAAGAGAAGTATCACTAAACTGTTTCCATGGTATTATCCACACAACCACTGCATCCCCCTCACCCCTACTAGGCTGTTAATATATCTACTGGTTATTACTACTATTAATTATGCAAGAAGTACTATTAATAAACTGGGCTAATAACATTAGCTAGCTTGTCTAAATAAAGCTGAATTAATCTCTCACAACAGCTATTTTCACACCGCTGAATAATTTTGCGATAAGTAATGTGCTAGTTTAAAATTTTATCAGAATGAAATAACATCAAAATTGCTTATGACAATCATCACACATATTTTGGTGATAAGGAATTAAAAACTATATATTTTTTTCTTATTAGAAATCACCAATCACAGAGAACAGTATTTTTTTCATTTCATTTGATTTCATATCATAGATGGGAAAGACTTTCCTAATGCTATTCAAGTTTAATACTGTGAATAAACTACCAATCAAATAATATTTTGATTCAAAAAATGATGCTGGAATCGCTGCACTATAATTGTTCCTTTTGAATGTATGTTTTTCTATAAGAAAGTTAAGACAACTCAACTCAGTTTTTTTAAAAGCCAAAAAACAATTGCTAATTGATCAAGTACGAAATCATTGAAATATATTCTCCTTATTTAACTGATCTGTTTAAAGTTGCTGAAGTTTGAAGTTGTACAGCATATACATTTAATAATTTTTAAGCAACTTAAAAAACAATTTAATGAATTATTAATTATTGTAAACTGATTTGGCTAAATATAGGAACACAACAGTTCGATAAATAATATATGTCCATTTCAAAGTGGCATTTCTACTTTCTGATCACTATTTCACAAATTGCTTGTTCCTATGCTGTGTGAGAGAAAAAATTCAGCAGCAAGTGAATTAAAAGTTAATTATATTAGGCAGCATACCACAACCATGCAAGAAAACAAAACTTAAAAGAACATTCTGCTGGTTGCATTTTTGTTTTACTTACCAGATTTGTAATCTAATTTTCTTTCCTCTTAGCTCTACTGTTTTGATTTTAAAATCAACACCTATAAATAAAATATAGTAAATAAAAGAGGAAGAATAAGCAGCAAATGCAAATACAAGTATGATAATATTTTGCTTGTTCATATGTAAGCAAGCTGAACACGAAGACTTGTACTATCTGGGAGATAAAAGATAGATATTGTATATGGATCTTAAGCACTGCAAAACTGAAAATGCTTTCAATAAGTATAACAATTTCGATGTTATGATTACTTAACTTAAACTAGACATGCCTCATACCTTGACCAGTTTTATAGGAACCATCTGAAACTTTACATTAAAAAATGCTTCTTGTTTGATCTAACTTAGTGGAAGGAAAAATCATGCTAGAAAAATCAAGGCTGATTTTTTAATGAAAGGAATTTTGTTCAATTTTAGTGTGCTCATAAAATTTATATGGCATTCTGATATATTTTTGTTTCACTATTGTAAATAAAAACCGCAAAACCTCAAAAAATTATTTTCTATTAAGTCCATATATCATATATATTCCCCAAGTATTATAACAGTATTTTGAAATCTGATCTTGAGAATATACTACAAATGGATGAGATAACTGGTAAGCCATGAGTGCCATATCACTGGCTTCACACAATATTTATTAGAAATACATTAGACTCACAGAAAACATTATTCATTTACAAAGTAAAGATATACTACATACAGACAATATTCTCTAATGTACATAAAATATGACACAAACGGTTTTTAATGAAATATTGATCAAGATCTGCATAGCATTCAAGTTGTTTTATGTGCTCNAAATGTTTGGTTAGTTTCCATTATTATCAGTATCTATCATTATCATGTATATTTAGCATTACAATGACAATTTTTACAAGGAGGCCCAAGCTGCATAATCATTTTCATGCCATTGAAGTATATATTGGCTCCTTACGTAATTGTTTTGTTCTTAACCATAGGTTTAACAATATTTTTACCCTGGCATCTTCCCTGTTGACATTTGCTCTCTAAGGATTTTTAAGAGGCTTAAATATAAAGGCATACTTAAAATGAAAATCATATACTTGAACTCTAGCTTTGATTAAATAATTGTTTTGTGCTAAACACAAGATAACAGAATACAGGAAACATTAAAATGAACAATACTGATTTAACTGTGTAATTGAAACTAAAATGTCCTGCAAACTGGATCCCCCGCAACATCCAACCTAGAATTCCTTGATTGCTCTCCCATCCAATGCTAATCAGGTTTATTTTTAAAGGAAATAAAAGATAAGCAGAAACATCTGAATCTGAAGCCCAGATTCTTTAACGTTCTTTCTGTTTAATTCTACAGCTGAAGTAAGTTCTTAAGAAAATTATGCAACAGTGATAGAGTAAGTTTCCCAGTTTTTAGAAGATGAATTGGGAAATGGTGGAGAAAGGATAATTCTATCGCTTCAATGTGAAATTTGCCCAAATAATGAAATATAGAGTATCCGTCACATTTGTATTGTGAAAGTCTTTCATCTAAAGTGAGTCTTCATTAATTCAAATGGATGAGAAAAACCCTTGTGTGCTTTACTTACCTTCATTGAATTGAAAAAAAAAACACCCTTCCAATTGTTAGAAAGAAACAATCGTATGGTCATTTCCAAGGTGGGACTAAAAAATGCAGAACAGTTTGAAGTAGAGAAAAAATTTATTCCGAGATCAGAGTACAAGATCTACTGATCAGAGGTGGCCCTCCCCCACAAGCCCCTTGCCTTGTTCCTCAAAAGCTCACAAAAGATGTACCCATCTTCTAGGAATTCCAAAAAGGGTGTTTAACTGGAATCCCCAAAGGGACGCTCTGCAGTCAGGCACCCTGTTTTGTTCTGGGGTTTGTTTATTTTTTTGCTTGTTTAGCATTGCAGTTAGTCGTGGCAATCTGTCTGGGGAAAGGATATTTTATTATTTAAGAGCTTTCGCATTCTGAAAAGAATGCACACTTTTTGCTATTTTGAATCTTTGACTCAAATCTGTTGCATCTTCTCAGTCTTTGTTTCTAATGTAATTTCTAACCTTTTTCCCCTGGAAAGGGTGGAGAGATTTGAATGACATGGAACACAGAGAAGATTGAATGACACAGAGGGTTTGATTTTCTTTTCATAAGCTTCAAGGAAAAGCTTTACATACATAGTCTGAATATTAAACAACTAAATAGGCAAACAACATTAGCAAATTTTATTATATATTAATATGCTCTACATGGGNAGAAAAAAATCATTGTATATCATTAAACATAAATTAATTAAATAGAAAAACAATTTTTACTGTGCAACAGGGATATTTTCTTAATCATGTCACTTTGGCCATTATCTGACAGCATTTCTACCTGACAGAATTTCTATCTGACATCAGATTCTGAAGACTCAAAAAAACTTGAAGAGCCTTATGTAGTACCTAAGCTGTAAATATGAGACACCTAATCTAGAATGCAAGCATAATATTGCTTTCACAATCTAGTCTACATTTGTACCTTAAATTTAGATTATGTTAATTTTTTAAGTTATATTAAAGGAGTATTCATACAATTTCATATTCCTTATATACATTAACATTCAACCACATTAATTATCATAGGAAACATTTTTATTTCTGCCAACTGAAGCAAGCAAAAATAATTCAGAAATTAAAAACTCCTAAAATTGTTTCATAAATATATTTTAAACAGTCAACATATTTAAGGCTGCAATCTTACATACAATTATCTCTGATTAAATTTCACTGAACTCTAGGTTTACTTGTGTTAAATATCATAGGAAGTTAACTTCTTACAGTACAAAGATCATTTACCTTTTTTAAAATGTCATCAACTAGTTTTAAAAATATTTCATCCACATTAAAATTATCCTTGGCACTAGCTTCACAAAAACGCATCCCAGTTATCTGCTGAGCAAACTATTAGGGGGAAAAAATAAAGGTTTATATTATTGTGTCAATTCAGTCTCAAAAATCAAATCATCTTTCAACGAATTGAAAAAATAATCCTAAAACTTACTGTATATTACAATAACGTTAGGTAATTTTAACTATAAATAGTTAATTTATATTCATTTTTTAAAAAAATAGTTAACATTGAAAATATGCTGATCTAGTCTTTAAAAATTTTATTTTTACTGTCATTATGGTAATTTCTAGTCCTAGCAAATCTTTATTTTCTTGCAAATTCCTCAGTGTCAGAAATCCTCTGAAAAATGACACTATTTTTTACACATCGAGATTTGGAAACTGACATAAGAGATATAGATTCCTGATGTAAATTAATCAGAAATCCTTAGTGATCACATTACTGGTTTATTCTGTACATCACTTGTAAGACCTTCGTCCTAAGAAACACTTAAGGCAAACAAATGGAAATAGATTTGATATTACAAATATATTCAGTGTTAAGCTTCTGTGAACTTCACATTTCCATAAGAATGAATGTTGACTTTTATCTTCACCTACTTTTTCTCCTTGTTGCCGACTAATCTCTCTGTCCACTTCACAGTCTAACTTATTTCCAACCAATAGTAACTCTGCATCTTCGGAGGCATACTGGAAAGAAAAAAAGAAATAAAACCCACAAAGTTATGCACTCGATTGTTTCCAGATGAGGCCCTAGTTTTCATATAAAAGAGTGAAGATATTAGACCATAGTATGTTCTTCATAAATCACACTGTTGATCTGTGAACATATTATCATGAAAGATTATGCTTTATTTTGGTGGCTTGTTGATGCATATTGTTTTTAATACAAATTTACTATTATTATGTAACTATAAAGTAATTGAAAAACTGATAGAAAAATAATATAGTAAATACTTTTAGATAGGCAAGGCTTTGTCTCAATACTTACAACTATAACTATGTAAAAAGCTGCTAAACTTAGTGGTATTTTATTTTATTTTTATGTTTAGAGATCAGCCTGTTCAATACCTTGCTACCACTTAATGCTTAAATATCAATCAATGAAATGTAAAAGTCATAATGTAAAAGTCATTATTTTCTATTTTTAAAAGGTCATATAACTCAATTGTGTAATTTAAATTTTATTGTTTAACAATGTGGAAATACCTGATTATGCAATACTGTAGAGAACTTATAGTTAACACTCAAAAGATCTAGAATAGATAATAGCCACATTGCAATAGGAGAACTCTTCAGAACTGCACTGCCACGTTTAGTATTGACATTAAACCTATTTTAAAGACCAAAATTAGTCCTGTTGGTTTTGGGAGACTGAAGCTTACCTTATCAATCATTTTCATCCATTTTGGCAAATCATCAAATGTCTCCTTCTTTGTGATGTCATATACCAATATTATTCCCTTGGCACTTCTGTAATAAGCTGAGGTAATGCTGTTGAATCTTTCTTGACCTGCTGTGTCCCTAAGAAGCAGCAGCAAATGCGGATACAAATATTTTATCAGTTTACAGATCATCTCAAATTTCTACAATAAACAAAACTTTATATCTTAAAGTTTGCATTGTTCCTACCAAACAGGCAAGAGTTAAAAAAGAAAGAAAAAGAAAAAAAGAAACCTCCCCCAAATAACTTCTTGTAAAGAAATGTGCATGCAGAAGCTATCTTATTTCTATGTATGTATTCAGTGAGTGATTGCAGTGGTAAATTCATACAAGACAACTATGTGACTGTGGATTCAAGCATGCAATATGATGACCATAAATCTTGTTATTAATCTTGTTACTAGCTTCTACTTTAGAATCTATGGCTAGACATATGTTGTGGGATATTGAAAAACAACAACACAAGAGCATAAGCCAGGTGAAAGTTCAAAGAAATGAGACATGGAGTTACATAATCTCAGGGTTTTAGTGAGATAAGATGTCACTTTATGGCTTCCTCTGATAGTACAAGCAGAGAGAAGTATCCAGACATGCTCCATTTGTTCATGGGCAACATTGATGGCAAGAGATAGGCCTTGAGCATATGTTTCATGTTCCTTCATAGTCAAATCACTTATCTCAAAAGAAACACATTTTCTCATAATTAAATCCTCATGGTTCCAATGAAAGATTCAAAGGCATTGTATGTTAAGGTTCATAAGAGAGTTTGTTTTTAGAATTTCAATCCTGCTTGAAATAGAATAACTATTAGTTTTCATCAAGGTATAGCTACCATTTTTAATAAAAGGATTTAGGAACACTGGTACAGGTTTTATTCATGTGGAACAGAAAGTCCTTTCAGTTTGTCATACTGTTTTAAGTTTTCTAGGAAGAGATGAATACTTATTAAGGTTATTCTTTTAATTTTCTTTGCCAACAATGCTGTAATTGCTAATTTTACTATAACAACACTGTCACTCTAAATGGTTCCAGATGGAGCAATTGTGAATAAATATCCTTCATTTTCTTTTTATTCCTAATTGCCCCACCCCATTATGTAAGCATCCCAGAGTCACTTAGGTAGTGTGTGTGTGTGAGAGAGAGATAAATTGAATAAATAGATAAAATAAAGTTGAAATTATCCTGTAAGCTGTAAATTTTTTAAAATAAAATTCCTTACATAAAATATGCATACTTTAATTTGAATACTTTGAGTTCTTAAAGGAAGGAAGCGCTAATCTTGTTCCAATCAGTTGCCTTAAACAAAGCACATTTACATTATATATATATGTGTGTGTGTGTGTGTGTGTGTGTGTGTGTATGTGTGTGTATATATATATATATATATATATATATATATATATATATATAAATATATATCTTTTACATTAATAAACTCAAATATCAATGTACCATAAGTACCTTCAGACAGGGCATTTAATACTTTTAGGGTGCATATTTTATGAATATTGGAATAATTAAATATTAAATATTATCTATTCAAAAACCTATGCCTTTATTAATCTCTTTTTCCTGAACGGGGAAAGTTAGATTTTTTCTATAATACTAGTCTTTCAAGTGGCATTCTCATTTATCAACATAATTTTTTTTTATGAGGAGGGCTTGCAATTCTGGTACTTTTTTCTAAGATCCTGACCAGGAAAAGCAAATACTACCTTATTAGCACCTTTTTATAAAACACATTACAATTTTCATTTTTGTCTTATAGGGAAAAGAGTATGACTCTACATACTTGACAAAGAAAAAGGCAGTGTAGGGGAGCTTAGTATGCAGGACCGAGAAGCTGTATTTTATCTACATTTTCTAGATGTCAGAAGGTAGATTTGGCATACGGTGAAGAGCTTTTGCCACGATATGATTAGGAAAGGATTTACATAGCTTCAGTATCAGGAATATCTTTCAAAGTAAGTTCTTCTAAGATAATAGACTTGATCAAAATTCCCCAAATATTGCATTTTCTTATCTAAGACAGAATGCAAAATATGCCAAACTACATTCTTAGGTCACAACAAATAATCCATTAAATGATGTCAGAAAACGTACAAATGGTTGAAGGCTTGAAGTTTATAGGAAGGCATTAATTCCCTGAAACTATTAAATTCCTTAAAGACAAATTATTCTTGATATTAATATTAAAACATATATTTAAGGAAATCAATTTTATTGGCCTGGAAACATGGGGGAGGGGCAAAGGAGGCTTAAACATCTCTTTCAGTCAGAAACCGACATGTCACATAACTCTGAACTGCAGTGCCTTCCCAAGGCCCTTTTCTGGGGCTTAAGAGCATGAGTGCTGAAAACTAAACTAAGAAAAACACACAAAAACCATAAAGTATGTTCTAACATAGTCATAAAGAACTCCTTATTTTCCTCAAATACAGGCCCGCTCCCATATATGGCCCCACCCATCTTGTTATCAACACTCCTCCCATGACTATTGGTAGCCCCTAGCAATTGGTAGCCCCATACGACAGTTCTGAGATTCATTAAAATCAATGCACATACAAAAATGTTTCTGTATGCACAGCAAGATTATTCCCCCCCCCCATCTCTCTTTCTTAACAAGATTGGGTTGAAAGTTCTTCCAATCAACAGGATAAATGTTTACAGAGACAAAATAGCTACAGTGGAAGACAAGCCATAAACACTTCAGTATGCATATACTGAAGACTTAATAGTACCAAAGAACACAAACAGCAGTACTATATAAAAAATTCCACAGAAGACAATGCTACACCTCAGATATATTCATTGCAAAACATGTATGCATTCCCTGAGTTCTTCATTTACAAATCCTAGCAGATTCTAAGGGCGGATATAAATCTATTGAATCCATAGCTCAAATATAACTTTCTATTCAATAGTGCAGAATAAGGAAATATTCTTCCCCGAAAATAAGAGTTATTTTCTTTCGACCCCCAAAATGAGTGCTTGGTCTTATTATCTGGGAGGTTTTATTATTTTTGAGGTGCAGGAGGTGCCAAGCGTGGTCACCTCATGGCTGTGGCTATGTTGCAATATTTTCACGGAGGGCTTATTTTAGTGCATGCGCTTCAAAAGCCCAATTGGGCTTATTATTCGGGGAGGTCTTATTTTCGGGGAAACAGGATATATGTAAAAACCCAGGAGCTGCTCTCCCACTTTAGACAGAGAAAGAAATGTTTGGCTAGTTTCCATTATTATCAGTATCTATCATTATCATGTATATTTAGCA